GCAGATTCTACTGGGAAGGGATACTATTTTTCAATAAATGGTGCTGGAACAATTGGATAACCATTTGCAAAAGAATGATCCTCAACCCTTCCTTCACACTATACACAATTATTAACTCAAAAGAGATTATAAAACAAATGTAAGAGCTAAAATTATCAAACTTCTGGAAGATAACACAGGAAAAAGTTTTAGTCACTTTGGTTTGGCAAAATTTATTTAACAAGACATATAAAATAATGAACTGTAAAAGAAAGAAATTAATAAATTGAACTTCATCAAAATTTAAAACTTTGGCTCTTCAAAAGGCCCTACTGCAAAGATAAAATGGAAAGCCAAAGACTGGGAGAAAATACTGGCAAAACACATATCTGACAAACAACTTTTATCTAGAATATATAAAGAACGTATATGACTCTATAAAAGACAACACAATTTTTGAAATGGCAGAAGACTGAACAGTTTACCAAATAATATATATATTTTAAAATAAGCATATGAAAAGATACTCAACATCATTATTCCTTAGGAAAATGTAAACTAAAAGCACAATGAGATATCACTACATACACCCTAGAAAGAATAAAATAAACAAGATTGGCCATATAAGTATTTGCAGTAATGAGACTCTCATACACTGTTGGATAGGAACGTAAAGTCTTATGTTCACTTTGAAACAAAGTTTGTCAGTTTCTTACAACGTTGAATGTTTACTGTACAACCAAGCTATTTCATTCCTAGATTTGTAATCAACAGAAATGAAAGCATTTGTCTACACAATGCCTAAAAGCTGTTCATAGCAGCTTTGTTCATAATACCTAACAACTGGAAACAACTCAAATGTCCATCAACAGGTGAATGGATAAATAAATTTTACTACATCCATACAATGAAGTATGGTAAATAAAAGGGAACAGACTATTGATACATGCAGCAATATGAATGAGTCTCAGAATAAATATGCTAAGAGAAAGTTTCTAGACAAAAAGAACACATACTGTGTGATTCCATTTTTGTAAAATTCTAGAAAATTTGAAGTATTTATTACTGACAAAAAATGAATGAGTGGTTACTTGAGGACAGGACTCGGGAGAGGAAGGGATGCTCTCCAAAAGGTTAAAAGAAAAATTTTTTGAATAATGGATATGCTCATTATCTTGTTTTTGCGATGATTTCAGTACAAACTCATCGAATTGTACTATATAAATGTGTCCAGTTTGTTGTATGTCAATTATACTGCAATGGAGCTTTAAACACACACATTGTCTCTCTCTCTCTCACACACACACACACACACACTCACACTCTCACTCACACTCACAAATATGCCTGAAAGAGTCATTTAAGAACATTAGTTGTCTAACTCCCTTCTTCTACAGATGAGGAACTTGGGGTCCAAATAGGTCAAGGTCACTCAGCTAATTCATTATAAGACTGAGATTGGATTGGAACGTAAGTATCCTTATTTGTGGTCTTGCTCTTCTTAGTACACTAAACACAGAGCTCAGATCAAAGAAATAAATTTCAGTTGGTGGACTTTCAAGCATTTGTGGCAAACCAGTGGAAAAAAGGCATAAACATGATGAAAAGGGGTGACTTTCCTAGGATCCTTTCAGTGATGCGCTGGAACTGACTTACTGTCTCATGGAAGTTGATGGTTAACTTTTCAGAAGTTTTGCAAGTTGGTTATTTAAACAAAGCCATTATTAAAAATTAAATCATAAACTTACAATTAAAGAAATTATATTAAAATAAAGGTAATAAAACTCAAAACTCATCACTTTCTGATTATTTTGCTGCATTTTACTATCTATGCTCATAAGGGTATTCACATCTATTTTATCTGTGTAGTGGAAAGATTAAATAATGTGTTCTATTCTACATATTTTCTCTATTCCAGACTTAATGACATCACTTTGGTAGCTTGAAATTAGCCATGGTGGATGTGTTTAGACCAAAGAAATCAGCAAATGCTACAAATCAGGGATCTCCCTCACCCTCACTCAGAGAGCTGGTTGTTAGAAACACTTGCCAGCACTTTTCTGCCTTAAAGCACCACTTGCCCTGGCTTTCATTTAAGGCCGGCCTGGAAGACAACCCACCAGTGCCTAAAGTCATGCTAGGTAAACAGTGAGCAATCATAAAGTGTTCTAGTGTAACCAACCGTCCCAGTTTGCCCAGGACTCCCCTGTTTAATATGGAACATCCCTGGAAACCCCTCAGTTCTGGAAAAGCAGGATGATTGATTAGTGATTGGACACTTTTCCAAAAGGAACCAGGTGGACAAATCAATTGAAAGTTGCATACTTTCACGGAAAAAAATAGCCTAAACATGTCTCCGTCCATGAGATAACTACTGGCACATTTGTGAATAAAACTCCATACATTCATTATACAGTCTCAATGGTAGCCAGGAAGGAAAGACAGGGCCTTATTACACATGTTAGGAGCTCCAGAAATGCTCATTGGTGATAGATGGCTGGTGAAAAGCAAGCCTATAATGGGAATTGAGTCTCAAAGACGGTAGAAAATGAAAGGCTGGTCTACCAGTTGGTGTCAACTGCAGGTGGCAATGACTTTGGATCTGAGGCAAGCAGGGGTTAGGAAATTCTTAAGAGAAAAGATTAGACAACATACTGTCTATGAGAGTAATGTGTAAACCCTAAAGGGAGTGGATGCAACTTTGAGGTGTTTATTGTGGTTATTACCACTTTGAGGACATCAAAGGAGTTTACTGGGAAGGGCCTGGTAATTTCACTTCACATTCTTTTTCTTTTGTTCAAGGCTCATTCTACCCCAGGGCTTAGTAAGCAGTTGCCTACGAGGAATGAGAAAGTTTTCCTTCCCCAAAGACCTGAGCCTTTCCTTACTCCCAGGCCTTCAGTTTTCACACGTCTCTCTTATTAGATAAGGTGCTTGAAAGCACTGCATAGTGAAGAAACAAGAAGCTATTAGCAGCCTGTTAACACCTGATCTCTAATTAGGTTAGCAAATTAGCTCCTGACTGGTTCCCAGGAGTCTAGAACAAGCAAAATAAGTGACTTTTTAGTGGTTAGAAGAGGAGGTTCTGGAGCATTGGTAGACAACACGGTAGGCTTGCTCTGGGCATATTAGTAAGTGCATAAACTGAGAAAGAGGTAATGGCCTGGGTAAAGAAGGTGTATACCACTAACAAATGTCACCCACTTGCCAGTTTTATTTATAGCTGATTCAGTTTCTCTTAAACTTTTGTGTCTGTCTTGCTTTTCCAACTCTAGGAAATCTTTCCTGGATGAGTTGGAGGTGCATTAACATGTTTCATTCCTTAGTGGGAATGTATCATGCTCCACCTCACCAAACCACTCCTTAATCCCCATTAGAATGAGCTGGGTGTATGCCTCCTCTTTCAAAAGAAACATATATTAATAATTGTATTAGTCCATTCTTGCATTGCCATAAAGAACCACCTGAGAATGGATAATTTATAAAGAAAAAAGATTTTATGAACCACAAACTTAGACCAGGCTCATGGTTCTGCAGGCTGTACAGGAAGCATGATGCTGGCATCTACTTGGCTTCTGGGGAGGCCTCAGGAAACTTATAATCATGGTGGAAGGCAAAGGGGAGCCGGCAGGCCAGCTGGCTGGAGCAGGAAGAAGACAGAGTGAAGGGAATGGTGCCACACACTTTTAAATGACCATATCCCATGAGAACAAACTCATATTGTGAGGACAGTACCAAGAAGAAAGGTGATAAATCATTCAGGAGAAACCATCCCTATGGTCCAGTCACCTTCCACTGGGCCCCAGCCTCCAACACCAGGGATTACAATTTGACATGAAATTTGGGCAGGGACACAGATCCAAACCATATCAATAATAATAATAGCAATAGGAATGATTACTATTCAAGAAACTATTAATATTTGTACAGGTATGGTATTTTACTAAATTTTCTTATCTAATTCTATGAAGTAGATATTTATTTTCTTGATGTTACACATGAGACTCAGAGCCATCAAGTAATCTGCCAAAGGCCATGTAGATAGTAAGTGGCAGAGCCAAAATTCAACCCTATATCTGACTCTAAAACCTGTGTTCTTAGCAACCAAACCTCTTCATATAGACTTCAGCTAGGGGTGGAGGAAGAAGAAGGAGGTAGACATAAAAGAATTATTCTATTCAACAAATGTGTATGTACTTCCTACTATGTGTTGAATCTATGGAGTATTAAAATATCAGTGTGTACTGCTTCTGCCCTTAATGAGATTAGTTCAACAGAGGGGACATGATCATTGTTCTAATAACTCATAAAATGGAGAGTTGGATCAGTACCATAATAATGATAATAGCTACCATTTATTAAGAACATAGTAAGTGTCAAGCACTATGCTAATACATTCTACATATATTTTATCTTAATGACAGTTCTGGAACTATTAATGTTAGTCAATTTTATTCATGAGAAAACAAGAATAATAGAGGGTTAATTAGCTTCTGTGGCTCAGAATAATGTGTTTCTGTGCCATTCAGAAGCAAAAGGAGAGAACTGGATTCAATATTCACTTATACAATGTTTTTGAGTGAACAAAGTATTTGCACCCAGCTCAGTGCCTATAAACCAGATTCACCATCTTCTTCTGTATCACCTATACCTCAGCCAGCACTGAATGTGAAGTAGCTTGACATCATACTTTCATTTCATTTGGAATCTTGAGAACAGTGAAGCCCACTAGAGTCCCATCACTGGCTACCACTACAAATGCCCCCTCACCTTCTTTTTATGTTCAAAACCATTTATTGATTATGAATATACTAACTGCCACTGAATGGTCACTTTACAATCGCTAAATTGGTAAATTTCATGTTATGCATATTTTACAATAAAAAATTTGTTGCACAAAATGTTAATTTTTAGGAAAAGTTTAATATACATTGCTTGCTAACAAATAGTTATCTTCTTGCCAAAAAGTTTCCAAAGCTATATAATTAGGGCAATAGAGCCTTTTTCCAGGGAGACCAGTAGACCAGCTCTACTGCCACCTGGGCAGAGTTTTGGAGAGCAGTTTTGCTTCCATTGTCTTTCATATTCTTATAGCTTGTGCTTCTTATATTCAGCCCTTCTTTCCATGTCTTCCTTTCCTCAAAAATGTTTCCACTGTGCTCCCCAGATTCTTTGTTTTGTGGTAAACAAGCTCTCATATATCTCACCCTGTCACCAAGTGCTACTTATGCCTCCTTGCCCTACCTAACTTGGATTTTCTCTAAGGGCACTGTTGGAGTAGTGGAGAGTGTAGGATGCCCATTCTATTACAGGGACTGGAGAAGGGGCTGACATCCTCTAGATTTTCTGTGGAAGCTTCCAGGCTGCTGTTTGTCTTCCTTGCTGGAACCACCACTTTAACCCATGTCAGATGAATCGATCAGTTACCATAGCTCATCTCTGTTGCCTAGACACTGGTCATGCCCCCAAAGTAATCCAGGCCTTTTTGCCTGTAACACATATCTTTCCTTGCCACTATTCATGTCATTGTCCTGGAGGGTTTCAAAGTCCACATGGTTTATTACTCAAACCATTGGCCTAGCAGTTCCTGACTGTTTGAAACATAATGACCTTGACCTGCCTCCATTTTAGTCATCCTCTTTCATGTCCACTCTCTAGACTTGTGCAGCCCAATATAGTAGCCACTAGCCACAGGTGATTGTTGAAATTTAAATTAACTGAAATTAAATAAAAATTTTACATCAGCTCTCACTTGCACCAGCCACATTTTACGTGCTCAGTAGCTACATGTGGCTAGTGGCTAACGTATCAGATAGTGCAGACAGAGAAAATTTCCATCATCACAGAGAGTTCCATTAGATAGCATAGATTCCAAGATTGTCTTCACCCAGAATATGTTTCTGCTTCACTGCAGAAATATATAAAAAGTAACCAAATGTGGTAGCACGTGCCTATAGTCACAGCTACTCAAGAGCCTGAAGCAGAAAAACCATTTTAGGTCAAGGAGTTTGAGGCTATAGTGCACTATGATCATTCCTGTGAGTAGCCACTGTACTCCACCCTATCTGTCTCTTAAAACAAAACAAAAACTGCACTCTATTCTGGGCAACAGAGGGAGACCGAGTGTCAAAACCCAAAAACAAACAACAAATAAGTGTACACAAATTTAAAGACACAAAAATATTGCATCAGGAAAAATGGCAGATAGGAGGCAGGACTAACTTGCAGCTCCCACTCATATGTACAGAGCAGTGCGCGGAGACTCAAATTGTGAACTTTTGCTCCAAGAACTACTGCAGGAACATACCAGGAAAGCTGAGAGAATCCACAGCCCCTTTGAAAGCAGTGGCTTGCTGCTGCAGGCTCTGTGAGACAGATGAAAACCTGTGAGTGCCCAAAATGTGGGAAGGGGAACATTTGCCCCCAAACACACATCCTCACTGGGGATCTTGAAGGTCCAGATCACAGAAGAAGGATTTGACCTTACCTGGAGCTGAGATGAATTTAGAGAGCTGAATGAAATACAGGGATATACATTGGGAAGAGCCCTGTGAGCCCTCACAGTCCCTAGGGAAGCCATTCCTCACTTTGTCTCACAGGAATCCATGGGGTGGACTGTCAGTGGAATTGGGGAAAGCCAACAGGGAGAAGGAAACCTCTAGCTGAACTTCATAACAATTTCAACTGAATGCAAAGTTTCATGGGCAGAATCCACAAGATGGGGAAAACAGGAGTGTGCATGGGAAACTGCGGCAGGAAGGGAGGCATGAAATCTGAAAGCCCTGCTTGCTTTCTCAGCGGGGAGGCTTGTAGCCTGGGGCAAGTTTTCAGCTCTGCTCACCAGCTGCCTGGGAATAAAATCAGTGCTGTTGGCAGGGGCATGGTGGGAGTGCGACTGGCGTTTTGGGCTGTGTGGGATCTTGGTGAGATCTGTCACTGCTGGTTTCCCCCACTTCCCTGGTGACCTGTATGACACAGCACAGAAAGCCATAATCCCCCTAGGAACGTAATTCCATTGACCCGAGAACCAGACTTCTATCCACCACAGCAGCCACAGCAAACCCTGCCCAAGGAGAGTCTGAGCTCAGATACAACCAACTCTGCCTCTACCTTATGGTCTTTCTCAACCCACCTTGGTAGCTGAAGACAAAGGACATAATCTCGTGGAAGCTCTATGGCCACACTCTCTGCCTTAGACACCCCGAATACTTATCCAGGTGACCGTAGGGCAAGCTTGTATCCTCCCTATACTACCGCAGCGATGCTCTCTTGAAAGCACCACTTCCCGGCTGGAGACCAACCAACACAAAATCAGAGCACTAAACAAAACTACAACCAAGGACCCTCACGGAGTCCACTTTACTCCCCTGCTACCACCAGTGGAGCAGGTGCACAAATGTCTAACAAACATATGAAAAGAATGCTCAACATCACTAATAATTATGAGATGCAAATCAAAACCATGATGTGATACCACCTTACTCCTGCAAGAATGGCCATAATCAAAAAATTAAAAAACGATGGATGTTGGTGTGGATGCAGTGAAAAGGGAACACTTTTACACTGCTGGTGAGAATGTAAACTAGTCTACCCATTATGGAAAGCAGTCTGGAGTTTACTGAAAGAATCAAAAGTAGATCTACCATTTGATCCAGCAATCCCACTAGTGGGTATCTATCCAGAGGAAAAGAAGTAATTATGCTAAAAAGATACTTGCATACATATATTTGTAGCAGCACAATTTGTAATTGTAAAAATGGAACCAGCTCAAATTCCCATCAGTCAACTAGTGGATAAAGAAAATGTGGTGCGGAAAGATGGCAGAGGTGTAGGGGGCCGAGGTGAAAGTGGATGGCACCAAGCTGAAACTGAGCTAGAATGAGCTGAAGAGATGCCTGAAAGCTGAGAAGAAAGTAGCAGAGAAGGAGGCCAAGCAGAAAGAGCTCAGTGAGAAACCCGATGCTGCCACCAACCACACGGCTGACAATGGTGTGGGTTCTGAGGAAGAGAGCCTGGACCCAAATCAATACTGCAAAATCCACAGTCAGGCAATTCATCAACTGAAGGTCAATGGGGAAGACCAATACCCACACAAGTTCCATATAGACATCTCACTCACCGACTTCATCGAAGAATATAGTCACCACCTGCAGCCTGGGGATCACCTGACTGACATCACCTTAAGGGTGGCAGGTAGGATTCATGCCAAAAGAGCTTCTGGGGTAAAGCTCATCTCCTATGATCTTCGAGGAGAGGGGTAAAGTTGCAAGTCATGGCCAATTCCAGAATTATAAATTGGAAAAATAATTTATTCATATTAATAACAAACTGCATCAGAGAGACATAATTGGAGTCGAGGGGAATCCTGGGAAGACCAAGAAGGGTGAGCTGAGCATCATTCCATATGAGATCACACTGCTGTCTCCCTGTTTGCATATGTTACCTCATCTTCACTTTGGCCTCAAAGAAAAGGAAACAAGGTATCGCCAGAGATACTTGGACTTGATCCTGAATGACTTTGTGAGGCAGAAATTTATCACCCGCTCTAAGATCATCACATATATAAGAAGTTTCATGGATGAGCTGGGATTCCTGGGACCGAAACTCCCATTATGAACATCATCCCAGGGGGAGCTGTGGCCAAGCCTTTCATCACTTAGCACAATGAGCTGGACATGAATTTTTATGTGAGAATTGCTCCAGAACTCTACCATGAGATGCTTGTGGTTGGTGGCATCGACCGGGTTTTTGAAATTGGATGCCAGTTCCGGAATGAGGGGATTGATTTGATGCACAATCCTGAGTTCACCACCTGTGAGTTCTACATGGCCTATGCAGACTATCACAATCTCATAGAAGTCATGGAGAACATGGTTTCAGTGATGGTGAAGCATGTTACGGGCGGTTACAAGGTCATCTACCACCCAGATGGCCCAGAGGGCCAGGCCTATGATATTCACTTCACCCCACCCTTTCGGAGAATCAGCATGGTAGAAGAGCTTGAGAAAGCCTTGAGGATGAAGCTACTAGAAACTAACCTCTTTGAAACTGAAGAAACTTGCAAAATTCTTGATGATATCTGGGGGGCAAAAGCTGTTGAATGCCCTCCACCTCGGACCACAGCCAGGCTCCTTGACAAGCTTGTAGGGGAGTTACTGGAAATGACTTGCATCAATCCTACGTTCATTTTTGATCACCCACAGATAATGAGCCCTTTGGCTAAATGGCACTGCTCTAAAGAGGGTCTGACCGAGAGCTTTGAGCTATTTGTCATGAAGAGATAGTCAATGCCTACACTGAGCTGAATGATCCCATCCAGCAGCGGCAGCTTTTTGAAGAACAGGCCAAGGCCAAGGCTGCAGGTGATCATGAGGTCATGTTCATAGATGGAAACTTCTGTACCACCTTGGAATATGGGCTGCCCCCCATGGCTGGCTGGGGCATGGGCATTGACCGAGTCGCCATGTTTCTCAGGGACTCCAACAACATGAAGGAAGTACTTCTGTTTCTTGCCATGAAGCCCGAAGACAAGAAGGAGAATGTAGCAACCACTGATATGCTAGAAAGTACAACAGTTGGCACTTTGGTCTAGAAAATAATAATAGTTGCAAGTTGTATAACTCAGGAGTCTTTGCATTTCTGCAAAAGTTCAGGGCCCACAAAGGAATTCTTATGTGTGGCTTTCCATTTGACTGCCGCAGTTTGGTTCAGCCATCAGAAGAGAGACAAGGAATTACAAATGTCTTTTTAATCCATGTTACCAAATAAACCATTTGTCTCTTCTCACAAAAAAAAGAAAGTGTGACATATATATATATATATATATATATATATATATATATATATATATGCATGCCATGGAATACTACTCAGCCATAAAAAGGAATAAATAATAGCATTCACAACGACATGGATGGAATTAGAGACCATTATTCTAAGTGAAGTAACTCAGGAATGGAAACCAAACATCATATGTTCTTACTCATAAGTGGGAGCTAAGTTATGAGGACACAGAGGCATAAGAATGATACAATGGGCTGGGCGCAGTGGCTCATGCCTGTAATCCCAGCACTTTGGGAAGCCAAGTTCAGGAGTTTGAGACCAGCCTGACCAACATGGTGAAACCTCATCTTTACTAAAAATACAAAAAAATTAGTTGACCGTGGAGGTGCGCCCCTGTAATCCCAGCTACTTGGGAGGCTAAGGCAGGAGAATTGCTAAACCTAGGAGGCAGAGGTTGCAGTGAGCCAAGATCACACCACTATACTCCAGCCTGGGTGACAGAGGAAAACTCTGTCTCAAAAATGAAAATAAAAATAAAAAAGAATGATACAATGGACTTTGGGGACTCACAAGAAAGTGTGGGAGGGGGATCAGAAATACGAGACTACACATTGGGTACAGTGTATACTACTTGGGTGATGAGTGCTTCAAATTGCAGAAATCACCACTAAATAACTTATCCACATAATCAAACACCACCTGTTCTCCAAAAATCTATTTAAATAAAAAATGAAAAGTTTAAAAAAATTGAATCAAGAAAAAAATATATTTTGTATCAATTTGCTAGGCACCTTGCAAGGAGTCGAGGATACAATGGTGAACAAAACAGACATTATTGAGGTAACTGTATAACTATAGTAGTCAAGACAGTATGGTGTTCCGGGTCCTATAGACACATAGGTCATTGAAATAAAATAGAGAACTTAGAAATAGGCCTGCATAAACATGTCCACTTTTTTTGCACAACTAATTCAATGGAGGAAGGGTAGCCTTTTCACCAAATGGTATTGGAGAAATTGGACATTCATAGGCCAAAACAAAACAAAACAAAAGGCCCCAGCCTGAGCCTCATACAAAAACTAACTCAAAATGAGTCATGAACATAAATGTGAAATAAAAACTGTAAAACTTTAGGACAAACAGAGGAGAAGAACATAGGAGAAGACCTCTAGGATCTAGGCCTAGGATAAGTTGCTTGGTTTGACACCAAAAAAGCAGTTTATAAAAGGAAAAAAATAGAGGAAACTGTTCTATACCTTGACTGTATTAATGTCGATATTCTGAGTATGATATTATACTATAGTTTTGTTACCATTAGGAAAAACTAGGTGGGGTGTACCTGAGATTGTTCTGTATTATTTCTTATAACTGAATATCAATCTACAGTTATTTCAAAATAATAAATTCAATTTTTAAAAGCTAAGAAGGAGGAAATGATTAACTGGTTCAAAGGCTGCCAAGAAGTCAAGTAAGTTGAGAAACGAAAAAATGTTTGACAATATGGAGGTTACTGTGACATGAACAAGAGCTTTTTTTTTTGCTGTAGTAAAAGAGTTGGAAAGCAGATAGAAGTAGACCGAGCTTGCTTCTTCTCTCGCCATGTGACCTACCTGCCCCTCCTGTGCTTTCAACCAAGAGCAAAAGCTTCCTGAGGTCTTGACCAGAAGCAGATGCTGGTGGCATGCTACCTGTACAGCCTGCAGAACCACTATTTTATTAATTAATATATATATGTAATATATGTGTGTGTGTGTGTGTGTATTTGAGACAGAGTGTTGCTCTGTCGCCTAGGCTGGAGTGCCATCATGATATCTCAGCTCACTGCCACCTCTGCTTCCTGGGTTTAAGTGATTCTCCTGCCTCAGCCTCCCGAGTAGCTGGGATTATAGAAGCCCACCACCACGCCCAACTAACTTTCTACTTTTAGTAGAGACAGGATTTCACCATGTTGGCCAGGTTAGTTTTGAACTCCTGACTTCAAGTGATCTACCCGCCTTGGCCTCCCAAAGTGCTGGGATACAGATGTGAGCCACTTCAACTGGCTAGAACCATTATTTTAATGGTAATGTAAGTTCCATTAATAAAGTTGATTCGAACATTCATGGTGTTTAAACCTGAACTTTTAAGTTAAGATGGTGGATAAGAGGCTTTTAGTGTGCCTCAGTCACTTGGAAATAGCAAAATAGTGCATAAAGATAAACTCTGTGAGCTTTAATTCAAGAAGGAAAATGGGAATCCCCTGGAATCATGAGGGACACCCCAGATCCCAGGGAGGAGGACATGGGCAAACAGCCCCCATGATGTTGTCTAGCTGATAAGAGCCTGGGACAAGAGAAGATCTGCTACAGCTGCAATTTCTCTTTGGTGATGAGACTTGCTGCCAGGGCTGGCTTGGCATCCTGGAACTGGTGTGCATGTACCATTGCTGAGTTCCCTTGCCCGCTCCCCTGAGATTGTGGTGCAGTGGAGCCCTCTCTGCTCCACTCCAAAGCAGAAACTCCAGGCATTTAGAGCACCTTCTCACATGGACTGGCAGCCTGAGTTGCCCCATCCCTCTTGGGTATAGCTTGTGGTACAATGGGGCCCTCTCTGCTCCATGTCCAGGTAGAGTTCGATATACTCAAAGCTTCTGCTTGCTCATATTAAAAGCTTGAGTCACTTCACCCTTCCTGTGCAGAGATCCAGGTGCAGAGGGCCCTCTCTGCTTCATGCCCAGGCAGATCTCCAGGCATGCAGAGCACCTGCTTGCATGGTTCAGCAGCCTGACACCCCACTCCTCCTATGCAGAAATCATGGTGCAGGGGGGCCCCCTTCACTTCACACTCAGGAAGATCACCAGGTATTAGGAGCACCCATTTGCCGTGGTCAATAGTCTGAGTTGCTCACCCTTCCTGTCCAGAGATTGTACTCCACACCCAGGCATATCTCCAGGAATCTGGAGCACCCACTCTCTTGTATTGGGAGTTTAGGCCATCTCCTCTCCCTGTGCAGAGAACTTCTGACATAGGAGGTTTCCCAGCTCTGTACTAAGGCACACCTCCAGGCACTTGGTAACTGCTGGTTGGATTCTTATCCGCGGTGCTGGTGCTTGTGCCTGCCATCAGGGAGACCTGCAGGTGGGCCTGCTTGGCCTGGCTCTGGCCTTCTCCGTCCCTGTCAACTCGGGGCTGAACAGGAAGCTCAGATAACTGTGTACTCCATGAATCAGCCCATTGCCTGAAGCAATATACAGCTTCTCCCAGTCACAAAGATGAAGTATATACCCAGCTGCATTGACTGCCGCTGGCTCTTACCTATAAGCGCCATCTACTGGCATGCAGGTCAAACTGCACAACCCAATATAAACGTGCTTACAGAAGTGCATAGCACTATAGGACCAAAGCCAAAAACCCTACCCACCAGTCACACACTCTAGAAAAAGGGAGAAAGGGAAAGAGAAAGAAAAAAAATACATGTAATAATGTATTAGGGAAATACACAAAAAATCCTACCTGTAAAAAAATAATTACAAAAATTAGAAAGTGCTAGTGTCTCCAGAAGAGAAGAAACCATTGCAAGAATTCTGACACCACGGAAAACCCGAATGTAGTGAAACTACCAAAGAATCGCACTAGCATTCCAGCAATGGTTGCTAATCAAAATGGAAACTCAGAAATAATAAAGAATTCAAAGCATGGATTGCAAGAAAGCTCAATGAGATCCAAGATGAGACTGAAAATCAACACAAAGAAACTTCTAAAGCAATTCAGAAAATGGAAGATATAAACATCTTTAAAATAAATCAATCAAAGCTTCTGGAATAGCAAAACTCACTTAAGGAATTTCAAAATGCAACTGAAAGTTTTATAGATAAATTAGACCAAGCAGAAGAAATAATCTCAGACCTTGAAGATCAGTATTTTGAACTAACCGAGTCAGACAAAAATAATGAAAAAAGAATTTAAAAATAAAGTCTATTAGAAATATGGGATTATGTGAAGTGACCAAAACTATGAATTGTTGCTTTTGTGAGAGAGATGGAGAAAAAAGTAAACAACCTGGAAAATATATTTGAGAGAATAATTCAAGAAAAATTCTTAAATCTTGTTAGAGAAGTAGACATCCCGATGTAAGAAATTCAGAGAACACCTGTTAGATACTCTACAAAATGATCATCACCAAGGCATACAGTCACCAGACTTTTCAAGGTCAGCACTAAAGAAAAAAAATCTTAAAGGCAGCTAGAGAAAAGGGTCAGCTCATATACAAAGGGAACCCCATAAGGCAAATGGCGGACTTCTCAGTAGAAACCTTAAAAGGCAGGAGAGATTGAGGGCCTATTTTAGCCTTCTTAAAGGAAAGAAATTCAACGAAGAATTTCATATCCTGCCATGCTAAGCTTCATAAGCAAAGGAGAAATAAAATCTTTCCAGTCCAGTAAGTACTAAGGCAATTTGCTACCACTAGACCCCCCCATACAAGGGATCCTTAAGTAAGTTCTAAACATGGAAATGAAATAATGATACCTGCTACCAAAAAACACACTTAAGTACATAGCCCACAGACCCTATAAAGCCACCATGCAATAGAAACTACAAAGAAACCAGCTAACAACTTCACACTGGATTAAAACCTCACACATTAATGTTGACTGTGAATGTAAATAGTTTAAATGTCCCCATTTAAAAGGCACAGAAAGGCAAATTGGATTTTAAAAAAAGATCAATCCATGTTCTGTCTTCAAGACACTCATTTCACACTTAATGATGCTCATAGACTCAAAGTTAAGGGTTGGAGAAAGATCTATCACACAAAAGGAAAACAAGCAAGAGCAGGGGTCACTATTCTCACATCAGATAAAAGAGACTTTAGGCCAGGCACAGTGGCTCACACGTGTAATCTCAGCGCTTTGAGACGCCGAGTCAGGTGGATCATGAGGCCAGAAGATTGAGACCATCCTGGCCAACATGGTGAAACCATGTCTCTACTAAAAAATACAAAAGAATT